CCCGCCCGGCTCCGCGAGCCTCCTGCTCCCCCCTCCCGGGGGCTGTCCCCGCAGAGCTCCGGGGCGCGCGTGTGTGGTGGTCGGGGCTCCAGCGATAATAAATGATAGAGGATACGATGACTTTGCTGTCTCTGCTGGGTCGCATCATGCGCTACTTCTTGCTGAGACCGGAGACGCTCTTCCTGCTGTGCATCAGCTTGGCGCTGTGGAGTTACTTCTTCCACACGGACGAGGTGAAGACCATCGTCAAGTCCAGCCGGGACGCCGTGAAGATGGTGAAGGGCAAGGTGGCCGAGATCATGCAGAACGATCGGCTCGGGGGGCTCGACGTGCTGGAGGCCGAGTTTTCCAAGACCTGGGAGTTCAAGAGCCACAACGTGGCGGTGTATTCCATCCAGGGCCGGAGAGACCACATGGAGGACCGCTTCGAAGTTCTCACGGACCTGGCCAACAAGACGCACCCGTCCATCTTCGGGATCTTTGATGGGCACGGGGGCGAGGTAGGAGATCTTCGGGGCGTTGTTTGAGAGTGTGTGTGTGTATAGACAACAGGACCTTGTGTGCGCCACGGGGTAGGACCTGGGTGCGAGGGGCGTGGTGATGACCTATTTCGGGCTAGACAAGGCCAGTCGTTCAAATGCCGCTCAAATTGCCGCAAACACTGCTGGATCCAGACCTCTTGGGACTGAAGGTCCAATTTGGGGGAGGGAGGGTCATCCACAGCCTATTTCATGCCTCATGATTTATGAGGTTCCCCAGGGCCAGAACTTAGCTTATGACTGTGCTAGTTTTGCTGGGAGAGTTGATGGTTTCTACAGTGAACTTTGGCCTGGGGCCTCAGTGCTCCTGTTCCAAGGTTTGAGGCTAACCTAGGCACAAATCGGGAAGCAAGTATCTTTGATGCTCCATTTGGGAAAAGAGACTAGATCTTGAGAGCCGAGGCAGTGAGGGCTCAGGGGGAGTGAAGGAAGCTGTGACTCCTTTCCCTCACCCTCGCCCTGAGGAGGAATCCGCGGGGTATCTCTGCGCTTCTTCTCAACTCCATTCACTTGGCAAGTGCAATCCAGCCAGGTGACGGCAGCGCCTCGCTGGCCGCCTGCTTTAGCTGGATCGCGGCGCGGGACCCAGCTGCCTCTGGCCTTTGCAGAGGTTGGGATGCCCACATCTCACCTCTACGCCCTGGCCGGCGTGGGGGCGAAGACGTTTCTCTGCTGCTAAAATCCTTTATTTTGGGGTTCATTTGGGAGCTAGAGACGAGGTTAGAGGCCGGTTCAGGTCCCTTTCCCGCATTTCTGCGGTGGCCTGATTGCGCGCCGGGGCTCAGATGAGGCGGAGGTTGGCTCTGGTCCTTGGGCATCGGCTCAGGCGGAGTGAGTGGCAAATGTGGCTACAGCGCCACTCCAAAGAGCACCAGGCCAGCCCCCCCGCCCCCCTGTTTCCCAATCTGGCAATTGATAACAGAGTTTACTGCTGTTAACTCTTTGTTGTCGTTGCAGCATGCTTTCTTACTCATAGCCCCCCCTCCTTCGCCACCTCTTCTCCGTCATTTCCCCTTCCCTCACAGCCCCAGGTGCCCATCCAACTTTTCCCCCAATTCTCTTCTTGATCTTTCTGGTCTTTGGACGGGCTGTAGGGGAAGTCATTCTTTTTCAAGCGTTTGCTTGTTCTTCTGTCTTTGGTTTGGGTGGAGATTGAGAAAGCTTTCAATTGGTCATCTTATCTGTATCTTTGATACAAAATCACTTCACCCACCGCTCTGCTAATCTTTCCAAGATACTGTGTCTTCCTGCCTTGTAGATCCAACTGTGCCAGGAATGACAAACTTGGTTGGAAAATTTATTTGGCAGAGCTGAAATCAATTTTTGCTATTTTCCATCCACTAGCCTTTTGTATGTTCTGTCTTTCATAATGAAGTTTTCTCACTGGTTGTAATTTTGTAGCCTCTGGTGTAGTGTGGGGTTCCTTTCCCCGAGGTCACAGGGTAAGAGAAAGACAGGAAGTGAATTGAGGGAAGAGATGCTGTGTACTCGGGGAAAAAACATACCTGAATGACAAGGTTGCCACTGTAATGACTAATTTGTTTCCTTGGTTTGAGTCAGAATGTCTGTATTTTCTTTTTATATGCCTAGACTGTTGTGAACCAATTAATAAAGCTTATATTTATTATATAATTTTACATTAAAATTGTTGGCAGGTGATAATCTGCTTCTGGTCTTAGAAAGCACAGTTTTGCTTTTAATTTAAAGGTCTGGATGTAATATGAATGTTGTGAAACTTTGGGTTGTACTTATCTGGGTGTGCTGTCTTGGCATGTTTTGAGCTGCACGTGTAAGTGAATAGGTATTAAATTTTGCTTTAAGTTGATATACTAAAACCTGAATGTTACAGACCCAAAGAGATTTCAGGTTAAAAAATTTCCAGTACTATTTTCCAGTAAATGTACCATCCAGAAAAGGGACATGATAAATGCTTTTATTTAACGAAAAGTATTTTACATGTACAGGGCTTTTCATTAAATTTTTGAATAATCAACAAGAAGATGATCATTGATAGCCAAACTATGAAATGCTTTTCATTGTCCCTTACATTAGAAAGCCTGCTGTTTGCAAAATAATTAATATTATCAGTACCTTAAAAATAGAATAAATTGTTTTGCCTGTAATCTCGTGTGGTATGTAGACAGTTCATTCATTTTTGTTTTGTTTTAGGGCAAAATAAGGAAAGTGCTATACACAGGAGTTATTTAATTGTCATTGGGAATGTGATAATAACAAATAATATTAGGTAATTTCTCTCCTGATGTTTTTTTTTTATTCAAAGAAAATCTCACCATCGAATTCTTGTCTTTTGTGTTGTTCAGCTCCTTTAACACTCACCAGAGGAGGGTGCCACTGTTTGATTTTGGTGTAGATGATACCTATCTCCTTTCAGAAAAGAGGAAGCTTTTTCTGAACTATTATTTATATATATGCTGTCTGTTGAGTCCTACAGAAGATGAATGATGAGTTTAATTTATTTCTAATAATTTAGACTGATAAGATAGGCTATTAAATACCAGGGCTCATCTGCAGTGGTAGTGCTTTTTAGATCCAGAAGGGACTTAAGCTGCCTTGTATATCCATTTCATCCCATTTTTTAGATGAGATATTTGTTGATGGCTGGAGAAGTTGTGACCTTCCTAAGGCTACATGGTTAGCCTTCAAGGCCTTCAGCTTGGTGGTCTTTCTGTTAAACTACTGACAAATCAGTTTGCATGTTTACCTGGTTAGATAGACACATAGCACACGAGGGATACAAAGGTGAATGAGACATGATTCCCAGCTTCAAAAAAGTGTCACTGTAGTGAGAGAGAGAGAGAGAGAGACCCGTATACCGGAAATTACAGTCAGTGGGTGCTTAGCGTGGTAGGGGACCCCAAGGAGGGGGCTTTAAATCAGACTGGGCGGTAGAGGCCCTGGGAAGACACCTGGAAGGTGTCTTTTTATTGCAAGGTTAAACCGAGGCTTTGGCTTGAGACCTGACTTTGAATCTCTGCTCTGCCTTGTACAGCTGTGACCTTGGGCAAGTTGCTTGAGCAACTTTATCTGGGAGGTTTTAATCTGAAACATAGGGATAATGATGCGTGTACGGTGCACTCTCATCAGTTGTATTGTACCCTCTCTAGAGAAGTACTTAATGGAGAGAAGGATGTGGAAGAAGAAAGCTTAGAGACCTAGAAGTCTGCTGTGTTAGGGCAGCGATGTCCAAGGGAGAGAGACTCTGCATGTGAAAGGCACAACTTTGGTCCCTAGAAAGGTCTGTGTTGGATAATTTCTTAGGTATCCCCCAAATTCTCTATTTCTCTTTGGTCTAACTTCTGGTGAACTGATTATTAATTTAGGATTCCAGGTATCCTAGCATTAGGAAAGCAGCATCCTGGCTTTGGATGGGAATTTTGTGATTAGTGAAAAGAGATAGTCTCTATGGTTAATTAATAAATTGGTATTCTGATTTGCACTTCAGCCTCTTATGAGTTGGGTTAGCATGAGTTAGTTCTCTTGAGTCTAATCAACTGTGTATTTTTGACAAAGATGTGTCTCTGGACTTACTGTGCTGAGGACCAGGCTGGATGGCTGCGATGTCTAGATGGATGAGATCTTAAAGAGCTGTCTCCGTGGTCCTCTAGGCCAGCTTCCTCACTTGATGGCCTTGAGCCCTTGAGACATTCTAACCACGATACTATAGGTAGGTGGTTGACTCTGAGTGTGTGTGTGTGTGTGTGTGTGCGCGCGCGTGTCTAAGGCTACAGCAGTGATTGTTTGGCTGTATAGCAAAAGATTAAAACAACAAAAAGGTAAAAAAGAACATAGCTCAGATTGTATCAAGTGATGTGAAAAGGTTACTTTTAAAATTAAATAATGTTTAGGAAAATGTTTTTTTTTGTGCTTATCTGTAATTTTTATCTGCAAGCAAAAGATGGGTTTTTGTTTTTACTTTTTATATTATCTAGAAGAAATATCACCAGTCCTTTGAGGTAACTTTGTCAGTGTTTATGGGTGAAACCCGTCTAGAAGAACAGATTGTTAGGTGCTCATGCTTATGGGCATTACGGTGTTAAAGATCGTGTATCATTGTATCATACAGTTGACACACAGCTTGGCCAGTGGTAAGCTCAGAGTTCCACACTTCACATCAGAGAGAAGCTGTACTCAGATGCTTGTCAGGGGCAACAGTCTTGAGGCTCAGCACTGCTCAGGAGCTCAGAAGACAAACTGCTTATGGAGGGTTGCCTGAAGGATATACAGTCTAGTTCTTTGGATCAGTGGTTTTTAACTTTTCTTGAGTCTTGCTTCTCTTTGAGGATGTTATGAAACTACAAACATATTCCCCAGAGAAATGGACTTGTGCATCAAGTTTTGTTGATAATTTCAAAGATAAGTGGATGCATGAAGTTTCTGGATTTTAGGTTGGTCTAGATAGAATAAAATCCGTTTCTGATAAATCTGGACCTGCAGGGAGCTGTGTACCTGGACCCTTTCCTTGGCTGGATTGCCTTCCTCTCCATCATTTGCGTTTGTTGACTTGTGTGCTGTCATTTGCCTGGGAGTGTTATTATGAGGGATGGTCTTCTAAAGCTCTATGACAAGTCAACTGCAAGGATGTCATTGAGGGCTTGATTTGTTACATTAGGTAGTATCCTCTTTATGAGGACCAAGGGAGAGAGAGTTCTCTGATAGCTTTTTGTTTTTATCTTAAGGATGCTGAATCATGTAACTGATTGGATCATCCTGTATTTGTTGGCTGCTAGAAGTCTTAGAGCCAAACCTCTGAGCTCCCTCGAGCAAATGTGCAGAATTTTATAGAATACATTAATTTGGCACATGAACTTACTCCCAGGACAGCTTCTCTTTTCTACATTCGGTTTTCCTTTGTCCCATTTTTCTCTTTCTCCTCTTAGATATGTCATTTTATCTTGTTGTGGTATATGTATTTATGTAAGTTTCACTGGATCCTTTTTGAA